CGTCACAATCAACCAATTTCTGATGACAGCCTGGATAATTATCTCCGAATATCTCGAAAAAATCAAGGGCACCCTCAAGTCAAGATATGTGGTGGAAAGTGCATACTCTCTTTTAACGTAATTGTGGCAGAAGGACCCACGTTGCCTTTAGATTATAAAAAAAATTAAGATTTTTTTAGCTCATTATCTGACCTTCAGATAATGATACATTTTGCTGAACTTGAACTTGGAATACTTTATTGAAATCTCAGTTTCAGCTTTCAGCAAACAGACATTGTTACTGAAAAGGAGGACCTCGAAAAATATGAATCCCAATTTTGGCCCTGATTGGTTCATTGTGACTACTTAACTTCAATTTGGAGTACCCTAATTTCACGCGTACAAGGCGCACCTTTTTCGATTTTTCAAACGTGCCGCTCAGCCGCCTCATTGTGTTTCGGAAAACGAGACTTAAGCCGCACGATACTCTCAGGCAATATACAGCGCTGCATATAGTGTTTTGTTCGCGAAGTCCTTTGCCCTGTTTGGGCTGACCGATTTTCGAAAAAAAATCTTCCGCGCCTTGTACGCGTGAAATTAGGGTACTTTAATCCCAGTTTCAGCTTATGCAAGTGCGGGCTACTTGGTTTCCGTGATTAGCGAGAGACAAACTCAGTAAAACATCTTTAGCGAAGTTTGTGCAGTCACAGCCGCTACGCAATCCCTCCACGCTTGGTTTTGCCTAATGTATCAAGTCGATGACCCGTTGGTTCTATAGTAGTTTTTCATAAAACGCTTTTCTGCCATTAGATGTTAGACTTTGTTTAATTAGAGCGTTCAACAAGGCCACGACGACTCCGCTTTCCAAGTGCTCACCCGTGAGGTACTTCGTGAGCAATGTCCGCACCCAACAAGGCTTTTACGATCCGGAAAAGGCTTGATATTTGTCCGAAAAACATCATTGTAAAACATGACAACGTCCTTATGTTCCATATGTACGATTAGTCTCTATCAACGTGGAATATGCATTTTTGACTTTTTACATCAACAAGTTTACATACTGATGAATTACACAAGGTATTGAAAGATCCTATGATACAATTAAAGGCAGTGTATGTGAGATACAGAAGTGAATTACAGAGGCGTGCAAAATAATCTGGAACTCAGTATCGAATGATAGACAGGACTGCAATGAAGATCACTGTAATGAGAGGGAATCATGACATAGTCATGGAAGCTTAGCACACCATACTCAGACAATAACGCGGACGAGCGGCAGGCCTTAACGGCTTTCCGGGCGAGCGGCGGGCTTTGAATTGTGGGCGTGGCTTTCTTGCGGACGAGCGGCGTACCCTCGCTACCGAGCGTGCGAGCGGCGGACCTTGATTTGACCAGCGGCGGCCCATCCCCTCAAGCGGGTGGGCGGCGTACCATTAACACGTTAAACTAACTTGCCATCATTTCTATGTGCGAGTCATTTTCATTTAGTGTTATTGCGGCGTGAGGGCGGACAACTAGCAGTGGCCAGCAATAATAAGAAGGTAAGTGTGCTCAGATAGTTATGATGAGCATCTGCCGGCCACCCACATGCCCATCCCGAGGGCGCGCCTATATGCGCGCGCCACATACCTCTACCAGCTTCTGCGCAATATGAAATTCCATCAGTTATGTTCAGGTATCCGGGACATTTCGGACCTCAAGTACTTCCAAATGCGAATTCGGTGCCCCCTTTTGTACAATCGCTTTTGTTGAACTGAGAAGCCATCTGCTCAACAAGGAATTGATTTTTCTGCAAGAAGAAAGTGGAAAAACAAATTCTTTTTCGTTCCCTTAGGAAACGGAAACTTGCGTTTTTTGAAATATTTTTTACACCGCTGGAAAAAGAAAATGATTTCCTATTTCTCTGCTACCAAATACAGTGCTGGCCATAGCTATAAAGGTACCCTAAAAAACACTGTAATTTGTTCTCTCTTGCTCATAATTGACTGAAAAACCACTATTTTGTGCGCAAACTAACGTCACACCACTGACCAGAACGGCTCCCAATTTTATTGATTTTGGCCGGAGAAAAATTAAAAAATTTGAAAAAACGGGTTCCAAAGGCTGGTCACAGCTATAAAGCCACCCTCTCATTTTCAATCAGTACTACGTTTTGTGAACCTCAAATTTTTTCTACATATACAACATCAAAATATGAAACATTTGTTACACTTGAAAGGAGTCGCCTTTCAAAAAGAAGATTCGTACTGCATTTTCTGCTTTAAAATGCATAATAAGTCACATTATTTAAAAAAACTGCTTTTTCATTGAATTTTGAAGCACTTGTTTGACTCGGATGAAGTTCCTAGGATTTGTTTGGCCTTTGCAATGAACGATGTGAAAAGTGTTGAACTGAAAATTGCGTAGTCGCTAATCTTGATAAACGAGCCCTCATCTTACCGAGGTGTAAGCACGCTTCTGAGGCGCAAAACTCGACTTCTGACGCGCGAAAACTTTTGGTTGGAAGTTGACACCTTGTCTGCATGGCGAAGTACTCATGCAGAAGCTGTCGGATTTTTTCGCAAAAACGAATTTGCCGCACTAAAGTTAGAACGCTTTGTCTGCAGTTCGGTTGTGCGCAGTGTATTTCACAAGACTTCAGATTTTACTGCTTTGAACTCCTCATCAAGTCAAATCTTACTAAACTGTCAGGAATAGTAGGATTTTGAAGTTTTGAGCGGTTTTCCGCTCGATCGAAGTGGTTAGAGTGAGTCATAAACAGACGGAGTGCACAACCGAACTGCAGACATTTTAGGAAAAAAGCGTCCAAAGCGGAACCAGAATCCTCAGAGTTGCGATGACGTACAAGCTATGCGCACGAGTCTATCGTTGTAGTTGTAGTCTACGCCAAGCAGAGATCCGCTTTGAGGCAGCTGGCATCTCCTCAGAAAAAGTTCGTTTTGCACCTCATCCTAATTTTCGATATTAAGTTCGCATTTGCAGTGATGAAAGAGTTGAGAATGAATTCAACGAAGAAAATTCCGCAGGGATAGAAGAGGAGGTTCCTCGAGGTAAATTTTATGACGTCTTGGACAAAAAGCTTTGAAAAGTTTTTGATTTTTGAGGGAACGTCTACGAGAGGAGTGAATCTCACTTCGATGCACGTTCTCGTAATCCTGAAACATCTCCTTCTCCTAAATCCTTATACGACTGCGTTCGCAACAATGTTTTATACATGGATCAAGCCGCCAAGTATATACTGTCAAGGATGCGTCAACAAAGATTCAATGAAGCAACTTTTCATGTGAATTCTACCCCTGTAAACTACAAAGGCAAAAAAGGGTTTTTTTTTTGTAGGAATTTGTGAGATCCAACGTAGTAATGTGCGCAAAGACGACATATGGAGATCTAAATCGCTTGAATGATCCCGATAACCATCAGCTGTGGAACATTGCTAATAGAATGACGGTATGGCTGAGTTTTTTGTTCGTTAATATCATTGTAATATCCTGTTTCAGGCTGAGATAGCCAGGGCGATTTCAACAAAGACGGCACGATTTATGGAAAATGCGGAAAGGAATGCTCCAGATACTAACGTTACTGTTAGTGTGCACAATTGCTCAAAGCTATGGAAGATAGACGCAAATCCCCCGTTTAAGCAGGTTCCTACAAAGATTTCATGACATTTTTGAAAACACTAATCTAGATCAGCCTAACGCAACTAGCTAGGGATTGGGAGAAAAAAAGAAAAGGGAATGCGTATCAACTACTTTGTTCCTTATATCGATTTGTGCTGGAAAGAGTAAGTTTCAGGAAGATATTGCAAGGAAGGGTACTTTCTACAAAGTGCATTTAGATCATGGAGCCCCCAGAAAAAATCCAGGAATTTTCCGTGAGAATGAGCCAAACCGGAGGAAGGAATGAGGCTTTAAAAAGCCTCCCCGAAGAAATTGAGGACGTGTTGAAAGGTAAAGGGCAAGTTTATAGGGGCGCGGTTTGAATATTACCAATATTTAGATTTTGGAGAAGATATGCTAGGCTTCGGGCACGACGAATTAAAACCCTGGATGGATGTCAATCTTGATCTAAGTGAGCTCTCCAAGATCGAGACTTGTTGTGAACTACGAAATAATTCATTAAAGGTTTTACAAAAATCTAGCAAAAACGGATGAAGAAAGAGATTTTGGATGAATTAATGGAGCAGCAAAAGGACTGGCGGCCACACCTCTTCAGATGCCTGCAAATGGCGCTGTATGTTTAAGAAAATCGGTTTCACCATTCTACATATTGTTTATAAAATTTAGGCGAGATGTGCGGTCTTACAGTTACCACTCGGGGAAATGGATACCTGGCGACGTGAGAACATAACTGCAAATAGACAATTTAGTGATTATTTTATGTGCTTCAGCGACAGAAACGTGCGGCACCAGGAGATGAAGATGCTTCGGAAGGTGGAAGAAAAAGATTGAGAAGATTCTAGAAGAAGACTTTTTGCTAAACAGCGGATTTTTGGCGTACGTGTAGATGGGTGCTTGCACCTTTGCACCTTTTTTCCGCTCATGAGAATGTGATCTTGTTGTTTATTTCGTTGATACTTATTTTGTTCCGGTTTATCATCTCGTGCTGTTTCAATTCATGACGCTGAGCATGCTATTGCATCTGCTTTTGCATGTGGTTAGCTTTTCTAATAAACCAACGTTACAATAATTGTTTGTACATATCTATCTCAAGAATTTAGGCGTTAGCACATCTGCCCATAGGAAATGAAAGGAGAGATTATTAACGCAATGACAGTAAGCTGTCAAATCCGTGCAGTCTTCAGAAGAGGCATATCTCTAGAGGGAGAGCGAGACAATATATAATTAGATATTAGCCCGCCAAAGGCACTCCGCTCGTCCGCTTTGATGCGAGCGGACGAGCGGAGTACTTTTAGCGGGAGAGTGGAGGGAAGTACTCCGCTCGCCCGCTAAGGGTACTCCGCTCGCCCGCTAAAGGTACTCCGCTCGTCCGCTTTATATCTGTAGCGGGCGGCCCGCGTGCCTCTAGAGGTCTGGACCACGCGTGTTTTCGAAATATTGAGGTTGATACAGAAATCTCGCATTCCAATAGTATTTTTCTAGAGAAAAGAAGTTCAGTGTTCATAACTATGCTCCACGTATGCTTGCCAAAAAGGAAGCAAAAGTGATACCTTTACTTGGAAATTCAAGCGGTCCCCCTTCAGCGCATCTGAGCAGAAGACAACTGACATCAACAGAACTCGACTTTGAAGAGCTTCCCGAGCTCTAACATACTTCACGTAGATCATTTCATCTTTTCGGACACTAGAAATCTTGTGATACTGTTGATTGTAGAATAGATATAACGGATAGTGTTACTTCTTTTTACGTCCAATTGATTCCTCTGGATTGAGAATGCCCACATGCTCATCAGCAGTAGCCATGATTGCTTGCAGCTGAAAATGATTGTGGCAGTTTGTCAAAAAATTACTGGACACATAAAAGCAAACGGGTAACAAATGACAAAAGCAAAGTGATAAGAAGACGAAAATTTTCAAAAGTGAGATAGTGAACTGATTTTTCAATAACGTACCCTGTCTTTCAGGAGCTTACTGAGCATGGGCAAGGATTTCCACTCTACCATTTCCATGGCAGTTTTTACATTGCTCAGCATCTGAACAACTTGGTGAAGTAACACCTACGAAAATTTCCAAAATTTTTAGAAAAGGCGCTTACCAAATCAATGTGCTCCTGCACGGCACTGAACAAAGTGGTAAGAGTTTGTACAAGTCTTTCTCGTTGAATAGCAAATTGTGAATGCAGAGGTAGTATACGAGAGGTAACCTCACAACCGTGATCACACTTGGTCAAAGCAGCAACCAGCAAGGTTAGCCAGTTTCGTGAAAACCGCACAACAAATTTACTTCTTTGATCTTTTGCTTGGAACGATCCCGCAAACAATATGACCGTTCAAACGGCTACTAGAGATTTGTCAATCGACGATGCCAAAAAATCGCATATGGTACCCTGCGATGCATTCTCAACGAATTTGTACTTGCCGTCAGCATGCTGTAAATTCGAAATTTGGTTTGGGAGGATAATGCCAATCGGATACAAACAAAAGGAAAAGGCATTAGCACAAATATTACTATAAAATCATGGACTTATAATGTTAATAGTTCTCAACAGACCCTGATTGAGCCACTTCGAAGGGCAGGTATGATAAGTTCGTGGCTGAAAAATTGTCTGTGTCTCTGAAGCTGTACCGAGATTAAGGCACAAAAAAGTAGGGTGAATTTCTAGTTCATGGATAACTCAATTTCCCGCTTTGGAAACTGCTTAGTCGATATCTCTCAAGCAGTATACACAAGAAGGTCAGGATCTGGACAAGTACCTATTATGTTTAGGGAAACTGAGCCAGTTGTCGCATGAACTGGCAAACACTGCAATTAGATCGTTACAGCGTCGCGTATTACCTCTTCACTAAGCACTTGTATGAGATCGTCCGCTATTGTATAAGAGCTCTTTCTAGGGTGGCGGTCAAGATTAACGATAGCTCTGCCAGCCGCTAGCTGCCAGCTGCTCGCGCGCGCAGAACAACCCGTCATCACTCATTTAAGAAATCGGAAAAATGATCTAAACTTCAGTTCTTTTCATTAAAGTTCTTTTCCTAAGTTAATCATTAAAGCTTACATAATTCGCATTCTGAATTGGGCACAAAACATTACTATCGCGAATTTATGGCGATGTGATTACTGACTATCTCCATCCTTGAAAAATAGCAGAAGTCTTAACATAAAGACATAACATCTATGAAGAAGCACAACGCTTCGGGCATTTACTGCTCCAAAATGTGGCGCCTGCGTAAACTCGTCCGCTGCTAGGGAGATGCTACTTGTACATCGTCTATTGACACCCGGCCACTCAGGGTGCCACTATTGCCAGCTATCATTATTCTTGACATGTACCCCTCTTTTTATACTGTGATCCATATCCATGTATTTTGCTGCTACGTGGACAGCCTTTCAAGAATTCTCAGCGTGTGATTGTTGTGCCTGAAACATCGTGAATCATCCAGAAAACTCATAACTGAGAGCTGACAATGTCTTACAATGACATTTTTCTCCAGCATGATGGTAGTGAACTAAACATGGTCGTGAAACATTTCGGGTTATCCATCATTTTCATGAGAGCAGAACAGATCTATAAATATGAATTTTATGGTAACTATAGTTGAGCCATGAAAAATACAAGAAATCATACTTATGAATTCTGCCAGCCATCTTCGCCTGCCTTTCCAGTTCTAGAGTTTTTTCTCTTCTCCCACACCTCGATCCACCGCCAACAATGCCGGAAACAGTTTTGTAATGAATTGATGACAGTGGCGCACCAAGCTGCCGTTAGCTGTCAATGATTCAATGATTTTTCCACTCCCCTAGATGATGTGGCATTCAGATTCGATTTCTTCCCTAAAAATTGAGCACTCTGAAGGCAATCAGTTCGTATATCGCATTTTTTTTTCAAGAATATTCACGAGCCCTTGGCCATAACAACACCAGATCTGCCGATATATATGGTGCAAGATACACCAAACTTACAGACTGCTACGACCTTCATCGGCTGGCTTCTATACTTGGTCGAGAGATACTGTATAATGTTGCCGTATGCTTCCAATGCGTGAATTAGGACTTATTGGAATAAAATAGATCTCTCCTAATTCCGTAAGGATGAGCTCCCATTTTGTTAGGATCACAGGTAGAATCGGCAAAATTTGATTCAAAACTCAAAGTCAGATATATGTTGAAAATGAAGCAAGACTTATAGACTCAAAGTTGATTACAGAAGGAATCACCTTTGTTTTGCTATTTAGAACAACCGATTTCACGAGACTGGATCCAATCAGCGCAGTCAGTGCCTGTGTAGAAGTCCAGAGAAAATCTGCAATATTTTCTTGAAAACATATCTGGTAAGCCTCAAAAGCGACTGATACCCAGCTGCCGAAATCACTGCGTTTGTGCCACACAGCATTGTATGTAATGGGTGGAACCCATCCAGAAGATTGTGATAAAGCAACCATGCGATCTATAGCCCATTCAAGCAATTCGCAGTTCACTTCTTATAGTTATTCAATAGATGAAGCTTCTCTAGAACGAATAAACTCGGGGGGTTTGTAATCATGGATGTGGAACTTACTCTGGGGCAATGTTTGTATTTGCCTGATAGTATGAGCGCTGATTGGCACATCTGCTTGCTTGAGATCAAGTTTTAGTGCATTTTCAGCAGTTCCAACTGAATAAAGAACTTAGTATATCCTATGGTCTCCAGGAAAATCGACCCGACCCTAAGCTTCGTAATGTATCAAAAAAAGGGCGAAAAAATGGTATACCTACCCTTTGCTTCCTTCCTCCTAACGTATTTTTCTTGGAGAACTTCAGCCAGTTCTTTTCTTCGCAAATTGCATAATTAGAAGAATATCCCAGATAAAGGTGCTGTAAATCGGGTACACACACGGAAAGAAATCAGAAGTACGAGGCAGGGAAATAAGAAACAAAACAGTTGATTCTTGATCCCTACAGGAGTCCAAACTAACTAGTAGACCATAATCGGACAAGCCTTATACGGTAATCCGATGAGCGGTGATGCAAAAATTTGGTAGTTCTAATGAAAAAAAACATTTCATTAGGTTCGCAAAGAATGATAGTGTGAAAGATGACTGCTTTCAGGAAATGCAACTACTGTTGAAATGCTACTTTCACGCTCTCCAATACGAATTGGTCATGTGAATCATCTAGGTGAGATAACTGAATATTGAATGCAGGAAAGTTGACTGTATTCATGATAGCAAACTCAGGCTAAAGCGCTTTGATGAAGGCAGCCATCCAAGGTCGACTAAGGGTGGGTTCATACTGATCCGTAAGTTCCATAACAGTTCCAGCACAGCGCCCGGACTGTTACATGTGCACGAGCTTTGCTAAGAGCTGGTGAGTCTAGTATTTACTTTCGAAGGTTTTAAAGGCAGCGTCCAGGCAGATCTGTACCTATGGGGCTTTTAAGTGGAAAGTACTTTTGGGGCCCTAACTAAGGCACTGCCCAAGCGGCAGCTCAGGTAGTCCTCTAATGGCTGAGATATTTCCCTCGAAACTGGCCCCCGCGAACGTATTCGCATGGATTTATGGCAGTTTCGCACCAGGATCCACGCTTTGCGCCATGAATCCATGCGAAACACGGTCGCGGGGTCCAGTTTCGAGGGGAATATCTCAGCCGTTAGAGCACTACCTGAGCTGCCGCTTGGGCAGTGCCTTAGTTAGGGCCCCAAAAGTACTTTCCACGTAAAAGCCCCATAGGTCCAGAACTGCCTGGACGCTGCCTTTAACGTCTACAAAGTTTCTCTAACAAGGGAAGTCACTTAAGTTAGGTCGCGCTTTTGAAATGGGGCACATATGGTTGGAATCAACTTGAAACGCTGATTTCAAATCTGCTTTCCTTAGCTGCGAAGCGTTCCTCTGAAGCGAGTTATGAGCTTTTTCCTGAGCAAATTTTGCGTGTTGACCGACTTAGGCATGCTACGGTATCATCATCTAGGTAGTGGATCGAATGCATATTATACCCTATCAAAGCCAAATGACTCAATTTGATGTTGTTTTGATTTTCCATCACTTTTTGGGCAGATTTCCATCCAAAGACCTTCTTTCCATATTCAGTTGTATGTCAATGACACGTAATAAAAAAGCTCATAACTCGCTTCAGAGAAACGCTTCGCAGCTAGGGATAGCATATTTGGAATCAGCGTTCCGAGCTGATTCTAAATATATGTGTCTCATTTCAAAAGCCCGACCTAAGTTAAGTGACTTCCCTTGTTAGAAGCCGACCCTACCTTGCGAGATTGCTCGCGAGGTTTTTAGGCACTTGAGTGGGCTGAATATGCAGGACGAACAGAGTGCATGCAAATTATCGCACATTACATGCTAAAGCCGAGAAAGCGCGAAAAAGCGACATTTACCGCTATGATTGGCGATCTACAAAAGATATGTAGGATCCATTCACGAAAATGGGATAAATATTCTGCTACTTTGTGTTGCCGAGAAGCTCCAAAAAGTCTAATGTAACTCAGAGATTTTTAATTTTTCCGCCTGAATTTCAAGATGGAGAATGAAACAGATCGTGCATTAGAATACTTCAAAAACGTTCGTATGGAAAATGAGAGCAAAACTCACAAAAATTTCAAATGACTGCCGCCGCAACGATACTAGTCTTACTACTACTAGAGAGGAGAAAGCCTTGTTAGGAGAAAGCATCGACACCCTTGTGCCATTACCAACACCTCGTTTAGCCTCCGCACCCATTCCCAGACTGGAAATTACCGTAGCTCCGGACTTGGTGAGAGCTGGAGTTACTAGAAAATTCATGTTTTACATACAATGAGGAAGCGTTTTCTGAGACACTTGTTGAAACCATTCCTTTAGGGACCAAGAAATACAGCTACAGTTGTCTTCGAAAACGTCGACCAGTGCAATGGCCTAGTACATGATTGCATTGCAATGTAACAATAAATGTTATATTGTTCGAGAGCGGCCTTACCTAATGCTGACAAAGCCACAATCATGTTGAAGGCAATCTGGGACAGCCCACCTCTTCCTCTGAGAACAACTATTTTAACAAAAATGGTTCATTACTGTCTAAAAATAACAACATGATTGCAACAAATACATGCATGAGAAGCGATCACAAATAGTTGCATCAAAGCGAAAAAAAAGCTAGTGCAAGTTGGAGTGAGAACAAATTTAGAGCAGAAAACTGAGACATTACGTTTGAGAAAATTTGAGCAGAATGATAGAAAGCAAATGGATGATGGGGTCAACGAAGTGGGAAATGTTAAACATCAGACCTGAAACCATGAACAAAAATCAAGAAAAAAGGTTCTAAGGAATCAAGACTGTGTCATCTGGGGGATCATCCTTGACGATTTTCATCTTTTGTAGAACCAATGGCTGTAAAAAATATAGTAAAGGTTCACTGATTTGATATGACTGTTCTGCATCATAAGCCATTAAAACACTCACTCCTGTTTTTCGACTGCGTCTGTCATACCATGGTGCAGCTTTGTATTTGAAGATTCTTTTTCCAGACTTATCGTAGTTGAAGTCCTTGTAGCAAGCATCGCATAAGAACTGTGTGTAACAGGGCATGCATTCGTGCTCCCAAAGTACCCATCTAAAACGTAATGAAGCATAAGGAGATAATTATATTATGGTGTTAGAGTCGACGATGAAAATTTCCCACTCAGCCGTCTCCTGCTTACAGCCAGCACAAGCGATGCGACGGAAATTTCGCTCATAGATTGGAACCGGGTATGGGCCAACCGGATGACTAGTATCTCTAAGAATCTGAATGATACTGGTCAAAACCAAAAAAGCAGACAAACCGTAAAGCAGTTCTGGTCACAATAACTAGATGTTCGCAAGCTCCAACATGGTTGTAAAGGTAGGGTGCACCAAAACGACAAGTCAGATCGATGATTCTAGTGTGGAAGATGGAAAAACTTCAAAACGCGATACAATCGAAAATTTACCTAGTTGTATTCATATCAGCCACCTTCATACCGGCAATGTTTCGCTTACTAGCCCATTCGCGAATCTCTCTAAAGGGTCGGGCATACATTGGGCGATTTCATCGCCACGCGATTCTCCCAACAAGACAACTGTCAGAGTCCACGGCTTGTCGCCAACTTGCATTTCGGTTGTGACAATTAGTCGCGATTGGTCGTGTCGGAAAACTAACATAACCAAAATGCAAGATTTTCGGCATGCAATGGTAACAATTGTCTTGTTGAGAGAATCGTGAGGTGATGAAATCGCGTGATGTACGTCCGTCACATAAACCAATATTAACTACTCATTAAACTTTGGACAGATGGATAAAGGATCGAGACTAAAACGGGCGTGAGCTTGATATACTGGGCTTTCTGTATGTGCTCAGTATTCGTGCGTTACCAATATCCAGGAGCCCATCAATTACCCGCTAGCTTTAGAAGATTCAAAGTGATTACACTGTGATATCCTTCGATCCTTGTGGCTCCAAGTCGATGTAGAATGTATCATGAAAGAAGAAGTACGAAGATGGGTAGCGATTCTATAACAAATGTACTTGTTTTCAAATTGATAAACATTGTATAGTAAATACCTTGCAAAGATCTTCTTTCGTTATGGAACGGTCCACAACATTTTCAAGCACTTGATAATCTGATGTGCAATCGATGGAATTTTTCAAATCTTTCAGAGTGTTCGATCCGAGTATCAGGAATCGGTCCAAGACTTTCATCTACAAGAGTATGTTATCTACAGTCTCACAAGAAAATAAGAGAGAGCTTAGATACCAGTCTACCAAGTCGGATTTCATGTTTTTCAAGAGGGCGTGGATAACCAAGAAAAATAGCAATTTCAACAACTATATCATCCTAAAAGTGAAATCAGCTCCAAAATGTGATGGAAGAAATACTCACTTGAGCCATATCACTGCCACTCTCTCCTACATCTGAGCAGGAATGAACGCCAGTAAGTGGACCTGGTTCTGCGTCTAAATCACACTAAAGATTCTCAGCCGATTCACAACACAATCTGCTTTCTTTTGTTGCGCAATATATACTTTTTACTCATCTATATTTTGAGAACAGTTGTAAAACTAAAAAACGACTTTCAACGACAAGCCGTCGCAAATGAGGACAGGTCGCGAAATCTCATTCGTAGAAGCTGACAGAGTAGCTACCATATTTCAACTCCAAAACCTATCACAGACACACAACCAAGGGTATCAATGGTTATCCTTGACTTGTTACTCTGGTTCCAGAAGGCACAGCGGCCAGTTGATTTTATCAGAAGTAAGCATCCATTTCTATTGCAGGCTACATTGGCTTACATCTGATTGTAAGGTTTAGATAATGTCTTCGGTATTAATTTGAAAAGTTCTTTAAAAACTCGCATGTGTCCGGCTCTTCCTGGTTCACTAGCACACGACACCATTCACTACAATAGAAGCGATGGGTTGAGGAACAGCGGTGACATTTGTCATATTCAGAAAACCCAAAGTATTTCACTTTTGGGAAGCAGTGAAGTAGTCTGAGCCAGCGGTTGGCAAAAAGTCGCAGTACAATGGTTTTCACTAGCATCCTGCCATTGATTGTTTGTCACTGCCTTCCAGTCGGTCTCATTTTCTAGGAGCAGAGCAGTCTAAGCCAATGGTGGACAAACTGCCACATTATTCTGACATTCACTGGCCGGTGCGGCAGATGGGATCGGAGCTGGGCAACAGGACGTATATACGAGACCGTTGTATTCTTGGTAATAGTTCCAGCCGGGTCCAAATTCTTGCTCAGACTATAAAATTTGCCTACGATGAATTCGACTTTTCATCTCCAAAATGGGGCTTATAAACTTACTACTATTGGGATCATAAACGACGCTGAAGCACTCAATTAGTGTGAGAAAATGAATAAAGCATTTTTCCCTACCAGAACTCGATGCACTGCTTTGAATGCTACTCTCAACCAGAGGCGAATGACAGTATGAGTTTTCTGTAACATGCAAAAAATTGTTCTCAGTCTTCCCACAGTATCGAATTTGCTAAAGCGCATACGTCCCACAAACATCCCGTCGTCTGAAGGGTCGATAGGATTGACTTCAGACACTTTCTTGTCGAGAGGCTCGGTAGTTCTTTGCACATCCGATTCTACAGGCCTATTTTCCTAGAAGTCAGTAATCCAGCAGCAGTTGAAACTGACTAGAAACAATACCTCTCCAACATCCAGATCTGAATGGTGGGCGCGTCGCACAAACACATATGGATCGTACTTGTCATACAACATAGAACGCAGCGAAATCGACTTGTAATGAGGATTCTTGCGTTTAGCATTCAGTTCTTGCAGTATGCTACAAAATTACTCAAGAGATTCTGTGAATTGTAAAAACAATCGCAATCATAGCACACTATGCAAAGTATCATTAACGGCGACGATACATAAGGCAACCCCAGCTGGCAATTATATAGCGTGTGCAGACTTTCGACGAAGTTGTAAAAAGTGAGTGTGGAAAAAAAGTATAAAAAAATCTTCGAACAAGATCAAGTTTATGTTATAACTACAACCTACTTTATGCTGCGAAGACGTGATCTCTTGTTGAGCTGTATGTTTGAGAGACCCCCGTCCTTCTCAAAGCAGTATTGTTTAGTAGGGTTGGAATATGCCGCAGCGCTGCAATGCATAGTTACAGTCAAAATGACAATGACCATGATCACTCTAAGTGCTTACACGTCGTTCACTAGTTTTCTTATATCGTGTAATGCTGATTCATCAACAGCAAGAGCCATGCATTGTAGCCATGGGATGAATCTCTTTTGCCACGCATCTTTCTCTCCCATTTTCGCTCCGAAAAATGTCTCCAAAGAGTCGCGCGTGCGAATAGCATCTTCAAAAAAAGCTCTGAAAAATATGTAGTCGATATAACGAAACAGATTACTCATCTTCACCAATATTATTAGTATTTGCATGAGTGCACGTCGCCGCCTACAATCTGGACCACCAAAGTGCTCCCTCTTCGTAGCAATCACGCATCCGCAGCGCGTGGGCGTCGCGCAGCGATATTCATCCATGCGGCGATTTAGCGGGCGATACCGGCTGGCGGGCACTGGGCTCCAGTGTTGCGCTTGAGGTGATTGGAAAGGGAACGCATCGTTGACACAGACTGTCAAAAGTATAGTTTTAAGGCAATGTCCATCATCACTACAAGCGTAGAGCGATTAGGATGACCTCGCGCGACTGCAGTGGGACACTCAACACAGGCAGCACCTCAAACGCAACCAGTCCTGATTACCTTCTTATCGGGCATTCAGATTTACCCTGCTTGCTAGCGCCCTATTGGAAGCGCATCAAGTATATCATAAGAGATAGCCATATACACATTGCTGATGATTTCTGTATCATCAACCAATGAACTCTATATTTTAGATAGCCTGCGGAATCCCCGTAGGCTAAATTGGGAGCTACTCACTCTTGGGTATCTAATCACTCAAGAGTGAGTGGTACCCGTGCGCCAGGAGTGTAGCCAATTGGCGGCATCTCCTTTCAAGCACCATCTCCTATACATTGTACCCTGTACTCGGTTCAGCTCCGCCTTCCTTCGCATATAAGGAGCCTCCGAATATATTAGAGGTTGCTCCCCGGTTAACACCGGCACACTTCGACATCCTCTTCTCGACTAATCTAACAAGGAAATGGTCAGAAATCGAAGTGGCCAAACCAAACAAGCTGTATATCATTCGATGCAGTATAAAACGCTGACTTCGAATCCGTCTTCCTTATCTGCTTCCCGCTTCTGTGGACGAAGCTACAAGCGGTTTTATTGTGAAAAAAATCATACATAAAAACAGCGAAATTGGGCACATTGTTGCACTTCTAGCTCGGCTTCTGGCTTCAAAAATTTTAAGTAAGCTAGCTGCATGTTTTAGCCCAGTTGAGGCGAACGAGGCTCTGTACGGCTAAATTTTCAATTTCACGCATAATTTCTAAGCAAAATAATGGTCTTACTTCGTCCAGAAAAGCGATAAGCAGAAGAAGACAGATTTAGAGTCAGCGTTTCATGCTGCATCTAACGCTACGCAGCTTGTCTGGAATGGCCACTTCGATTTCTGACCATTCCCTTGTAAGCCAGTGCGAATAACCTATTCCACGACTACTCGTCTAGTTTATCACTTGGTTCACACCAAATTGGTGCATCGACCAGTGAAACCACCTCGTATTCCATCTACAACTGGAGGAATGGAGGTCTCAAGACCCGCGTGGCAGGAAGAGGAACCAACCGACTATCTGAAAATCTTTGTGTATCGTTTTCGTAAGCGATCCAAAGAGGTGTAAGAGAAATCGGAAGGAATACCACTGACTATCTGAAAATCTCTGTGCACCCTTTTCGTGATCCAGAGAGGTGTAGGAGAAATCAGTCGGTCGTGTGAACTACTCTTGGAAACTCTCTGTGCATCCTTTTCGTAAGCGAACCAGAGAGTGGGAAAGAATCAGTGTTACCACACAACCACAGACAACTTGGAAACTTTCTGTGTATCCTTTACGTAAGTGCTCCAGAAAGTGAAAGAGTAGTCAAGTGGAGCACATAATTACATTAATACGTGGAACTTTCTGACAATGAGTGGAACAAATTTTGTGTGTGCAGCACATAACCACATAAGACCGTGAAACTTTCTGTGAATCCTTTTCGTAAGTGATCCAGAGAGCGGAACAAAATTTTGTGGGTGCAAATTTCCAATCAATCTCATAGATCTCTCGCGAATCCTATCCAAGGACCGGAGATTGATACATTGATTGAAAGGAAGGGTACTTGAGTCACAAGAGGTCATTTTGCCAAATTTCTAAAACATACCTTAGCACGACAGGCTTACTCACAAATTCTTGTTCATCAAAGTGAAAAATGGCATCCATCGACATTTTCGGCGTGCTAGAATTAACCCCTCTGAAAAACTAGTCCAGTAACTTATGAAGTAAAATCGCGAAATGGGACGATACGGACGGACGATTAGCAATGATATTCGAACTTGCGCGCGTCTGACAAAGTGGGACTCGTACCTATAGTTATGATCGTCTCCACGATTCGTGTAGAGGTGTATTGCAGACTTTGCCTGATAACACAGATAAATTAAACCTCCACATCATAGCATTGTTTTTTGTACTCTCTCGCTATCAAAAACCGCCACGCTTTGAGTTGGCAAAATCCCGCCTCTACATGAATCGTGGAGCCGATGATACATGGCTGCGAAGAGCTCGCCCCATGACCCAATGCAAATTTTACCGGCGCGCAGGGCGTTCTGTGTCGCAGCGTGCAATTCAGGCACAGATGTCTACTAATTGAGTTTGAGCTACATAGGCTAAACAGTGAAGATCTTGTTCGATGACAGCTTATTAGTGTCACGGGCTGGGAGGATGTCGTTGAGCAACAAGTTAGCGATGAAAGACTGGAGATTGTACATAATTGATCTTTTTCTGTAAACTTCTTGCATGAACTTTTTTGTATGACCTTTTTCCATAGCAAGCTTTTGTGCAAAAAGACTCCGTTTCTTGAGCTAAGGGCTGGAGAGCCTTGTATAGGCTTGCTGTTTTTGCTTTTGCTTTGTTTATGAAAACAAATCTGGTTATGTTGCTTACTCACGATGAGCAAATTCAGAATCCACATCTCGTTTCCTATACTAAATGGACAGTATCTGCATGCTCTGAGGTAATCTATAAGAACCAAAGGTGAACTCTCTGCTCAACAACAGGCTTTCTTTTCATCTGTCACAAAAAGTTAAGTCAAAGAGCGGGTCTACACCATCAAAATTTGTGAAGAAAGCCCCTTCATTTCATTATACTGCATGAACAAAATTTTTGGTTATGACGTCATGGAAAACAGTTTTATCTTCAGTGCGTCGCAATAGCTATGCTTCATTTTTAAAATCGTGACGACGAGTTGACCGCGGTCTTTCCGCACACAGAAGGATAAAACACTCATACAAGCAGGCAACACCTTAACGCTAAGCTCAGTCACTTCCAGTTCCTGTATACTATCATGTGTAAGCAGAAAAACTATTCGATAAGATATAGAGACCAAGAACTGGGAGTGCGTGCATGTTGCGCGCGGTCGCGCCATCGTCACGATTTTTCGAATGCCCTATACCTAAGGCTGGGTTCATACTGATCCGTAAGTTCCGGAACAGCTCCAGCACAGCGCTGCAGCTGTGTGTTGTGCTGGAACTGTTCGGGAGCTTACGAATCAGTATGAGTCTCGCCTAAGGAATGCGCTCAGATGAGGAGTGAGAGGCAAAGAAGCGAGAGGTATCTGAACCACATATATTCACAGGCCGTACTTATGCTTTTACACTTATCTACCCATCTGTGAGATATGAATGAAGACTACTAGCGAAAATGGTGATAAGTAGAAAAGTGAAAAGCATAGTAGCGCCCTACCTGAGCTGGAGGTACCTAAGCCTAACTTAGCCGCCGAAATTGACGTAAGCAGTGATTTCCAAGAACAGTTAAGCTATTGAAGTCCATCTGAACTCAAATGCTCACCCGCAAGCTACCACTCACTCTGGGAATAGAAAACTCGAAAATGCTTTGTATCTACAAGTCTTCTTAACATGCTCGAATTGGTTTTATACAAGTGGTCTATCACGAAAATGAGATATCTCAAAAATGCTTTCTAAACTGAAGCGCTTGAGTCTCATATTTTCGGAGTAAATGATACCTCTTGACTCTTGGACTTGCAGCTTTCTTCTTCCTATGGCTGCCGTATAAGAAACATGTTCGGTAGGAAGCCTCTCTCTGTTTAAGCACAAACATGTCATTACTTTCTTGTCCGCGCTAAGTTCTTGAGGCACCATGCTTAATGAAAAATAACTACTTTGCAAAAGATGAAAGATAAATCATCGCACGTTAACGAATGCACTTGTTTTTGTGATTCTTCTGCAGAAAAGAGTCGATTTTCCTTCAGTGTCAATTGTTTCGCTCTGAAAGTGACAGGGTATACGCGCTTAATCGCCAGGGTTCCCGCACGGGATACAGATTTGCACTGGGACATGGAGCGCGCTCTTCGCAGCCATTTGTAACTATAGCTACGAGTCAAAGTGGGCACACCTTCGAGCAAGAGAACAAATCCCATAACCTTTACGGCAGCATCCAGACAGATATGACAGCGGATAGTTTTGATAGTGAGATCAATCAAGAAACTATCCAAAGAGCAGCGCAGATGATCCAACTAAGGCTAGAAATTTATCCCCAAACTTGTCCCATGTACCTTATTTCGCGGACGGCAGCACGGCTTGCATGCTTTGCGAACCCATCGCGAAACGACAGATCCCCGCTTGAAAGCATGCAGCCGATTCAAGCCGCCCTATAAATACTCAACTCGCACCGGCCGGCGGCCGTCCGAACCGGCCGTTGGGGATGCTTTCAGGGCCCGGCACGAGTCGGTTTCCAGGGTTTCTGAGAACGAATCCCCTGACTTACGGAAGTTTTATGAAGTCCCCTTTGACCTACCTGCTTAGAAGAAGGTGAAAACAATAAAAAATTAAATCACTAGTCTGAAAGAAAAGACGTAAAATACCCGCCATACTTGATGCACTTGATCCGCTTAATCCACTTGATCCGCTTGAACCGCTTGACCCTCGTGCAAAACGCGCGTCAGCAGTCTGTCATTTGGCGCCACGTAGGTAAAAAGGAATCTCGTATGGTAGCCAATTCGCTGTACGCGACGCCAAATGACAGACTGCTGAGTGCACGCTTTTTGCACAAAACGGATCAAGCGGATTAAGCGGATCAAGTGGATTAAGCGAATCAAGAGGATCAAGAGGATCAAGTATGGCGGGTACCTAAGATAAGAGCGAAAATTCAAATTGGAGCTGAATACTACGCATGCACAAGACTTTGGCATTAGAGCGCGA